TTTGATCTTTCCGTTTTTTTTTTTCCCCCTCTTTCCTCCCCCCTCCCATCTCCCCTCTTTTTATGCCCTGAATGAGGGCATTCTTTTTTTTTTCTTTTCTTTTCTTTTCTTTTTTTTTGGGTATAAGGCTAGTTCTTTAAGCAATGAGGGCATCCCTGACAACGTGTAATAGAAGGGGGGAAATTTCATAACAACTGGAATATTTATTTGGCCGTGGTAGCGGTTCGATACATTCGGGGAGTATGGCCTCAGTGGGGGGCCTTTCCCGAGAACGTGGAAAGCGCCCTGCCTTGCTGGCACGGCACTACAAGATGACAAAAACGAGAAGAACAAAAATTCATTTGTCGGCGATAGTGGGCAGATACATCCAGAACAGTGATAGTGTGGGTACGCAAACAGTCGGGGCATTGAGGTTTCAGTATGCCATCACTCACGGCTTCCCCGACATCTCGAAGTAGATCGTTGCTACACGGACACAGATAAGAGGGAAAAAACGAAAGAAAAAAGAAAAAGGGAACAACGATTTCGCTTACAGCGTGCAATACGCCATGCCGTGCTGGCAGGGCACCACAAGACGGCGTGCCATCCTCAGTTCGTTTTTTTTGCGAATTCCTTTTTTTTTTCTTTTTTTTTCTTTTTTTTTTTTGTTTTGTCTGGTCCCACTAGCAACCGGGGGCTAGGTCCCACTTGCACGAATTAAGAGATACTGACCGTAGATATCGAAGATCAGCTGCCGAAATCCCCTAATTTGCCCAAATGGGACCTTGCCCCGGGGCTAGGTCCCACTTGCACGAATTAAGAGATACTGACCGTAGATCGCAAAGATCAACGGCCGAAATCCCCTAATTTGCCCAAATGGGACCTTGCCCGGGATAGGATAGAAAAGGGTTTGTGTGGCAGTTGAGTGACCCAATTCCTGCCGTGCAGTACTCGCCAGTGATCCCACGGTCAATAGTTTACATTTTCTACCGGAAAAAGTAAGGAGATCTTGGTTCCCCTCCTCCAATCCGTTGGGGCTATGGCCAACCCCAAAAGAGAGCGGGGTCGGCCATAGGCCCACTGGATAGAAGATTTTCAGTATTTTGCTTGCTGTTGTGCAATTATCTCATTGGGTGGAGCCCTCCTTCAATCACGGAGTATATATGGAGGGCGTAAGGATCACTGCTGACAGAAGTTGGGTTTATTCCAGAAGATGTGGCAGTTACTTTCTGCACTGTTGTTGCAACCACCACCATCAGATCATTTGTGATCTGATGGCTGGGAAGCACTCTGCCGTGATTTCAGGTGGGAGGTCTCTGTTTCTTTTTCGTTTTTTTGCCTTTCTCCTCCTGTTTTCTCACCCCAGAAATTCGTAATGAGGTCGCTGCAGAAAGCAGTTAAAAAGACCCAAATAAGACTGGCCAGCCAAAGATTCGAGAAGATGAATGGCCAACAGCTGCAACCAGACTGGAGGTCACTGTGGTGAAATTGAGAGAAGAACATACCTGTGGCTGATGCCCTCTCAGAAGGAGGCGAGTCTGCTGTGGCTGCAATCTCTGTTGGTTACAGCCTCAGCACTTTGGCTCTCCAAGAAGGGCATGGACGTCTCAGTCACCTGCAAACGGTGCGAATGGGGGTGGGAGTCTAACGATCATCTGTGATTATATTGCCCATCGATTTGATTGATTGATTGATTGATTGATTGATTGATTGATTGTGTGTGTGTGTGTGTGTGCGCGCGCGCGTGCGGTTGTGTGTGTGTGTGTGTGTGTGTGTGTGTGTGTGTAAGTGTGTAACCCGCATAATAAGACATGATAATGGTATGATACGGAAACCGCATCATAATCTGTGTAACCGTTTGAACGCCGTGAATGCGCGTTCGCGTTCAAATGTGCGTTTGAACACGGATTGCGCGTTTGCGTTCAAAATTGAACGGCGTTCAATTTTATTTATTTATTTTTTTTCTTAAATCATTTCGATGCCTAAAGATCACTTTTTGTTTCTGATTTTTTTTTTATGAGTTCTATGTGATGTGAGGTACATGCCTCTCAATTTTGGAGTCATTTTGTTAAGGCAAAAAAAAATGAAAAATCGCCAAAGATGGCGGTGTCAAATCGTGTTCGCTCACTAATTTCAATTATTTTTTTACTTTATTTTATTTTCTGTTTTTCTATTTGTTTTTCCAATTTGGTACCGAGTTCAGATGTGATGCTGAGGCAAATGTTGTTTATTTTATTTTTCTNCAAATGTTGTTTATTTTATTTTTCTTCATAACATATTTTTGTTTCGGAATTTTTTGAGTTTTTTTTTTTTTTTTTTTTTTTTTTTCCCCCGCACGGAACTGAAGTCCGCGTTCGGTCCCGTTCATTGAATGCGCGTTCATTCCGTTCAGTTTCTGAACGGAAAAACCGCGTTCAATGAACGCGCGGTTTCACAGATCATAATCAAGATCCGAAATAATATATCGGCGTACCTTAAGAATGAAAACTTGTAGGCGTGGTGCAGACACATCCAATACTCGGAGGTGGGGAATGACTATGCCGGACTACACGAGCAAACTCAGGAAAAAAAACTTGTAGGCGTGGTGCAGACGGAACCTATATTGTAAGGTTAGGAATGACTATGACGGACTACATGACCATCTGGTATGCTCCCACTGCACTTTGCAGGCGAATTGGAACACACACGATCAAATAGACACCACAAGACGGGGAAAGGAAGCATGATAAAACAAAAGACAAGGAGGCAACGACAACAAACTGCAGAAGGGCACAAGGAATGGGGGCCACGGGGGAGGTAAGAGGGCAGACCATACATAAATGCAAAAAAAACAAAGAAAAACAAAAAAAATGCGATTACAGAAAAATACCCCAAGCATAAGACATCAGGCAGCAACAAAAGACAATGGTGGAAGGCACGGGGGAGGCGGGAGGGCAGACATCACTCAAACACAGAAAGTTTGCAAAGCAAAAACTCAAGTACCCAAAAACAGCAAAGACCGAAAAAAAGAAAAAAATAAACAAAAAACCAATGATGACAACATTGTCAGTAGGGGACGCTGGACCCGGTTTCCAGCAGCGTAGTGATGGATTATATCCTAGCAGTAGGTGGTTCTTCGAGCCTGGCTCGTAAGCGAAACTGGCTGAGGCTGCCAGGATAACTTTGGGTCGAATTGTGAGGTCCCCGGCCTCGACTACTGGCTTTGAAATAAAGATTGAACCTTTCCAAAAAAAAAAAGAAAAAAAAAAAGGGAAATTCATAATGAACCTGTCAGGCCGCTGCCACTCAGTGTCACACTGGATCCGCCACACTCCTATCCAACTGCTAATGGGACCATGCTCCTGGTAGTTCCTTCTCGTTTTCAAAACAGACGACTCCCTTGCCTCTGCCGAAGCTCTACCCAGCCTCTACCGAGCCTGTCGAGCTTTTCAGCCTCTACCGACCCTGCCGAGCTCTTCCATGAATTCAGGACGGCAATTTTTTTTGCCTGGGCGGGGTACTGGTGTTAGGTCGATGGCCTTGAGATGTAACCGCCAGTACCTTTGAGCTGCCCTTGCCGAACCAGTCCGCGGCCAGTGCCCGACGCTGTGGAAGGGCGCGCCGAAAAAAGAGCTAAGGTTGTTTTGAGGGGGCAAAAAAAATAGAAAACTAGATTGGGGGTGGCCTTGGTCACGCAGTTAGGAGCCTGGAAAAGAGAAGACTCGGAAGAGCACTCGAGCAGTCAGAGAAAGGTGGGGGAGGGGGGAAGAAAACGACGGGATGAGGGCCTCGTTCCCGCACTCACCAATTGTGCAAAATCAGAATGAATCTTCTGCTGGAACATGGAGAGATGCGCGGCCATAATTCTTCTCGTTTTTGCATTTGCTGAGCAGTGGATTCGTCAGCACAGCGTCATTGGAGGAGAGCTTGTCAGTCCACGCAATGTCAGCCGTGATAGCGGTCACGGCCCTGAGATATCATCAAATTTGGAAAAGTGTATCTGGACTAGTCACTGTCCAGATACATGCGGCACAATTCTCTTTTCCTTTTTTTTTTTTTTTTTTTTGCCCCAAAAGAATTACAACGTCTTTTCCTCGTGCCAGAAATGTCACCCGTGATTGTTATCACGTAGTACGATACGGCCCTGAGATATCAAGTGGCATGGGGGAAGATGGTGATCAGGAGGCGGGTGACGTAGCAATGGTAGAAGAGGGAGAGGGGAAATGGCTGCCATGTATCAGGGAACGGGGGTCGACCTACGAGCTGCTGATTGGTGAGGAAGTCATGGGGACGGCGGGATAATGACCGGGGACGAAACCTGTGTGCCCGCATCTCGACGTTAGCGAAGGGCTGCGGGTCGAACTGGGGAGGATTGGGAGGGCGATCGACTTCTCCAGCAGCGCCAGCTTCTTGATCCCTCCGATTCACCTTCTTCCTCCGCTTCCCCCGAACTGGCCTCCTCCGAGTCAGCGTCCCCCCATTCTTGATAATCGGGATCGTCTATTTCGTCTCCTGATTCCTCCTCCTCAGACGTCATCTCCCCTCCTGTAGACTGGAGGTGACCGCCTCCCTCGTTTTCCTCTTCTTCCTCGACCTCCTCACTGGTTTCTCCTATAGGGACGCGTCGGATGAGCATCGGGGATCTCGTCCTCTGCACTTTTGTCGACGGGTTCCGCCCAATGGAAGGCGACCTCGAGGAGGCAAAAAATGAGCGCCATGTAGGCTTGCCGCCACTGCGTCCACTAAGGCACGTCGAGAATCAGCACATCTAAGGGCTTAATCGTGAAGGACAGGGATGCTTCCTCGGCCGATTGCCAAAACGTGGGAACATCAGAGGGGAGGCTGAAGGTAGAGAGACGATGGCGGTTCATTGAGGATGAGCAAAAGGGATGAAGCACAGGGAGAGTGACTTCAGGCGCACTGGAGGAGAGACGAAGCTGAAGATCGATGCCGTTTGTTGTCACGACGCGATTGCGCGGTCGTGCCAAGAAACGCACCCACTCAGTCGCGAGGCTTGCTGCCCAGTCTCGCAATTGTCGAAGGACGACGGTGTGGTGTGCCGGATGTATCGTCGTGAGGTCGCTTGTAAAGACGACGATGACTGATACGTGGCTCTTGCCTGGCGGAGATAGGCGCAAGAATGCTGACACCTTGGCCAACACTCGCGCCACTCCGGACTTCCCAAGCTGGAACTCCGCCGCCTCGTGGATAACAGCCGTACTGAAGAAGGCCGCGAATCAGAGGAGATCCGGACTCAACCGAGGATGCCACACTTGCCGGATTGCTGAGAAGGCTCCCCCAGGTATCATTAGTCGTTCGCTGATCACCTGGTCTGTTGAAAAGCTCATGGCGATGGAGGCGGGGTCGAAGACGATGGCTGAGAGAGAAAGGAGGATTCTAGAGAGTCTCCGTCTTCGTCTTGTCCGAGGGACGATGCAGGTGAAGGAGGAGAAGGGGAAGAGGGGAGAGGACGAAGGTAGGACATGTGTCGAATGATCAGTCGAGCCGATCGACTTCCCGACACCTCTGGCGCAAGCCGCACAATGTTCACTCCACTGGGACCGAGCTCGACTACGCGAAATCGCCCGAAGAATCGTGGCGCTAACTTGCCTTGGCGAACACATTTGCTCACCTGCACGGTGTGCCCTAATTTATGTTGGGGCCGAGGCCCAGCGTTCCCATTCCGGGCCTCGTAGCTCCGGACCTGTCCACCGTGGGCCATTTCCGTCATGTGTTGTCTTTTCGGGCAAGTCAGGGAGGGCTTTTTCCATCAGCTCTAGGTGGCGCTGGGCCTTATCCTTAACCGCCTCTCTAGTGGTTCGTCTGGGAAGGGTCGTCTCATCATGTAGGCTCGGTAGGGCTACATAGGGCAGGTTGTTGGTCCGTAGTTGAAAGGGGGTCAGAACCGTGGACTCGTGGGGTGTCCCCAAGTGGATAGCCAGAATAGTCCACGATATCGGGCCAGGGCCTCGTGTCATTTGCCGCAATGTTGCGTCGCAAAGCGATCTTAATCACCCGATTGGCGTTTTTTACCAGTCCATTGGATTGCGACATATGGGGAGCAGTGTTACGAATGGAGACACCATGTAGGACTAGGTTCCTCAAGACTTCCCCTCTAAATTCTGCCCCATTGTCCGTCAAAATCTGCTCAGTATCCTGGTGCATCCCGAGAAAACGGTTGACGTATCACGCTATTTCGGCCGCCTTTCGCGTCTTGCAGGGATAGGCCTCGATCCATTTCGAGAAATGGTCTACAAAAACCAAAAGGACTGAATATCCACAACTGTTCGGTCCACGGGGCACGGCAATATTGGTGGTATACATGCTAACCCTCTGGAACGGTCGTTCGACTACGGTAGGCAGTATCGACCTAGGTGGCTGAATCGACGCCTTATCAACGGCGCAAACCTGACAATTCCGGACGATGAACTTAACATCGTCGCGAATGTTGGACCAGTACCACTCATTCTTGTCAATTGCCGCCTCCATGATTCTGACAGCGAAATGGGCCGCAGTATCCTCGTGGGCTGACTTAACCAAGTCATACCTTACGACCGGATGCGGGACAGACATCCAAATCCCGCTTCCATCAGTTTTCCAGTTTTCCAATCGTCCCTCATTCCATCAATAATCCCGTCTCCGATCCTCCTATGTGAAATCTTGAAGAGGGTTCCCAAACACCGTGGCTATCAAAACGACGTTTATCCACACTTCATCCTTTCTAAACCGTCGGTTCTTTTCTAGCCTTTTTGACGTGGCTTCGAGGAATCGAGCCTCCGTCGGGATCTTATCAGTACGACACAGAGGACACAACCAGGGTTTGGCCGCATTTCGGTACTGAATACAGGAGCCATGGGCCCGAGAGACGCAGTGTTGACAATCTACCCATTCAACATACCCTTCCCCACTAGGATGCATAGGGACCGAATAGAGTCTCGAAATTGCCTCGCAAAAATAGCAGAATTTGTCAGGTAGGGAGGGAAAGGACGAGGATGAGAGAGGACTCACAGGAGAAAGAGGAATTTCGAGATTACCTCCGCACCCCATCGCCATCGTGTCGATCACCCCTTAGGAGCTCGAGGAAGGATGACCACCTGTCCGTACCGTGGCCCATTGGCGGGTTCTGGCTCTTTCCACGGAGTGATCTTCTCTCCTTTAGCTACCTTTGCCGGACGGTGCAGTCGTGTCAATCAGTTCGTGTTCCCATGCCTCTCCGTCTTCCGGTGGACGATGTCGAAATCATATTCTTGCAACCGTACTTCCCAGCGCCCAATCATGCCCATGTAATTAGTGAGCCTCTTGAGAGCCTGCAGGGGCTCTTGGTCCGTGATGAGGAGAAACTTTTGTCCGTACAGATACGGATGGAAATGTTGAATTCCTTAAACCACCGCGTAGCATTCTCCTTGCAAAGCCGAATCGTTCCTCCTCTCGTCTGGTACGGCCCGGGACGCGTACTCAATGACGTGTTCGTGACTGTCGTTCCCCTTCTGCGCCTGGATAGCGGAAATCGCCTCAGGCTGCCAATCCGTGATGAGAATGAATTGCTTGGCCGGGTCCGAACGGATCAAAATAGGCGCCGTAGCCAGGGCCTCTTTTAAAGCGCTGAAGGTCCGTTCGCACTCCGCGTCGCAGCTGAGGGGCTGGTCCTTCCGCAGCAAGTTCGTTAGGGTGGTGCGATAGCGGCAAAGCCCTTGATAAATTGACGATAATATGAAGCCAGCCGTAAAAAGGCTCAATTATGCGTCAGCGACGTAGCAGTCAGAGCGTCCCGAACAACCGCAACTTTTCTCGAGTCGGGCCTCAAGCCTCCCCGAGTCACCACGTAGCCTAGGAACGAGATCTCAGAAAGGAAAAACTCACTTTTTTCCAGCGCAATCTTGAATCCAGCGTCCCGTAGGGTCGTAGGGCTCCCAGTGTTCATTCGATATGATGTGCGTGCCCGTGGAACGATTCCGAATAAACCAAGATATCGTCCATGTACACAATGTCGCAGAAATTAATCATCCCTTGAGTCAGTAGGGTCTTGTTGACGAAATTTTGGAACGTTACATTCATTGCTCTCTGGAACATAGTCAACGCATTTACGACCATTTCGTCAAAATGGACTTTTTTTTTTTTTGAACGAAATTGAAACTGAGTTTTTTGGCTGAAAACTCGTCAAAATTTGTTGTTCCTGAGGGTCCAGCGTTTTACAAACGCCGGACCCTCAAGAACAACAAATTTTGATGAGGTTTGGGTCAAAAAATTCGGTTTCAATTTCGTTCAAAAAATAGAAGATGTCCATTTTGACGAAATGGCAGTTCATTGCAAATCCCCATCGGACACCGAACCCACTGCCAGGTGCCTTCAAACAGAACGAAGGTTGTCTTGGGCCGGTCCTCTTCCTTAACCAGGATGTGTTGGAACCCATGACGAATATCAAACTTGCTAAAATAATTAGCACACCCAATCACATCAAGTAAATCGTCAATCCGGGGAAGGGGATACACATCCTTGATCGTATCATTCAGTTTGCGATAATCGATGCAAATGCGAATCGACCCATTTTTCTTCGATATTAGGACTACGGGGAATGACCATGGTCCCGTGGCTGGTTCAATCCATCCGTTAGTTTTGAATTCCCTAATCCTTTGTAAGGCTGCCTTTCGCTCCGCGAGGGAATACCTGTACGGTTTGCAGTGGATCGGAGGATGATTTCCAGTTTGAATCTCATGTAAAATGACTAACCATAGTCCGATATCCGTGTCCGTCACACTAATCGCTCCCTGATATTCTTTTAGAATTTATGTGATTAGATGGTGAACTTCATCGGGCACGTAATGTGGTACATGCAACTCATGGAGTTGGCCTAGGATTTGAATGGTAATATGTTTTGTGTCGATCTCGCCACTCTTCCCGGGCGGGGCAGTAGAAATAAATGAATGGTCCGATCGCCAGGAGAACACCGTGGCCATCATCTGGGCATCTTCCTCCCGGATCGCCACTTGTTCCTTCGGGTTTACCCCGTCGCAAACGTCCTGCCATCGTACGGTTTTTTCCACGATCTTGATCCCGAGGTTGTGGGGTCCTGTGTCGCGACTCGTACGGGGTTCCAAAGTTTCGGCCCCTGGTCTAAGCAGTCTTATGTCTTTCCCCGGAGGCAACAGGGAACGGGGTAGCTTCGTAATATCGCAAAAGGCTTCCTTATCCCTGTATCTCGCAAGCAGTGGAGTGGTGCCCTCATAAAAGGTCCGAGGGGGTTTCAAAGAATCAGCCATCCGGGAAATTTGCACAAGCGGTTCGCCCAAAATTAATGTGCATGTTCTCTGAATATTTTCTTTCGTAAGTTTGAATGTTTTCGTGGTTGCTTGTTGAACTGGATAGCGGACGCGTTGCTGTACTAACTCCTGAATTACTAACTCGTCTTCATCGCTATCACCAGTGTCACTCAAGGGGTTTGGCTCCTTTGTCTGGTGATCACAGTGTTCCACAATTTCCTTCCAAGCTATGTATCAACCGCGGTCGCGCGCTCGGGCCATTTTACCGCCCCCGGCCGACTGCGGGCACGAAACCCCGAATTTGTTTTTGGGGTCTAAAGATATTCGAAAAAAATAAATAAAAATACGGGCGTGTAGGAAAAAAAGACTCTACACCGCTGTGATTTTTAATAATTTTTATGACATTTCCTGGAAGAGAAAAAATAAAAAACGAAAATGGAAAAACAAATAAAAAATAAAGCAGTGATGGATTTTTTTTTTCTTCATATTTTTGGTTTATGGGCCGGTGGCGAAACACTGGCCCACACACACACACACACACACACAATCAATCAATCAATCAATCAATCAACCAATCAATCAATCAATCAATCAATCAATCAATCAATCAATCAATGAACAAATTCTAATCAATCAATCATTCAATCAATCGATTTGATTGATTGATTGATTGATTGATTGATTGATTGGTTGATTGATTGATTGATTGATTGATTGATTGATTGATTGATTGATTGATTGTGTGTGTGTGTGTGTGTGCGCAAGCGTGCGGTTGTGTGTGTGTGTGTGTGTGTTTGTGTGCGCGCGTGCGGTTGTGTGTGTGTGTGTGCGTGTGTATGTGTGTGTGTGTAAGTGTATAAGTGTGTAACCCGCATAATAAGACATGATTATGGTATGATACAGAAACCGCATCATAATCTGTGTAACCGTTTTAACGCCGTGAATGCGTGTTCGCATTCAAATGTGCGTTTGAACACGGATTGCGCGTTTGCGTTCAAAATTGAACGGCGTTCAATTTTTATTATCATTTTTTTTCTTAAATCATTTCGATGCCTAAATATAATTTTTTGTTTCTGATTTTTTTTTTATGAGTTCTGTGTGATATGAGGTACATGCCTCTTAATTTTGGAGTCATTTTGCTAAGGCAAAAAACAATGAAAAATCGCCAAAATTTGCGGTGTCAAATCGTGTTCGCTCACTAATTTCAATTATTTTTTTA